CCCTTAAGCGCAGTGTTATTTTCAGTGAGAGATTGCGAAAGCTGCGGTACTTTCTTTCTTTGCCAGAACAGGTATAATTTTGACGCACTGGCGCATTCATTAACTACTTGAACTTTTGTTTATTTACGATAACGATTTTTGCCTCTCACAGAGAGTGAATTAAGCAAAAGGTTTTGATTTCGATGCGATGACGGAACATTCTGACAATATCTGGTTGTTGTACAATCCATGAAATCTAATGGCGGTGAGGCAGATTAAGCATTTTTGTTTTTATGTGATTTTGCGTATTACAGAATTTGTCGGTTGATGTGGAAGAATCGAAGCGAAAGATTCAAGAAGCGGCAGAACTGGAGTTTAACAAACAGTTCAACGTCATCTGCTCAACCGGAATGTTCACGTACATCACACATACCAGCAGATACTGTCAAGCGGGAAATAGCGTGGTAACGTGCTATGCCTTCCAGACCAACTAATACATATTTTAGCCATGTTGTGTAAAGATAACGTTTGCTCCGGCTCATCAATAATAACTGTGTGGATCTTCAATAAAATTTGAATCTTTTAAAAATTTATAATTGTCCAGGGACCAACTTCCAAATGACGCTGGTATATCCTAGAGGCAGCAGGTATTGTAGTGAACTAGCAAGGCCTATTATGATTGTGATCGGCTTAAGCTACTTCCAGGATGAAATCTCCGGAGAAATAGTCCAAGGGATTTTTGACATTAAAATTGTAGTTTTTATTGTATATTTATTTTCGATGACTGAACAGTTGTGATCCCTTTTCTAAATCACTAAATCGTTTCGAGTGTGCTTAGGAGCATGAAGCATAGGGTATTTAAAAGGCCCACAACTCAATTTACCAAAAGAAAGCATTGTGGAGGTTGTTTGGCATGTGATTGTTTTTGATCGAAATCTATTCCAAATGAGATGTGATGGGATCCGGAATCCTTAGTCTAGCAGTTTACCTGTCCCAGTTCTTAGCCTGGTCTCCTAAGTGTACATTTGGTAATTTGTCTATTTGCTTTAGTCAGTGCCGTTATCGAGTGGTGGCAAATCCGTCACATACATCTCGTCTTCTGAATGTACGACTAGGGAACCGGATTTTAGATCAAAATTTTGGCGGTGTTTTTGTGTGTAATAAGACTGAAATAATTGTGCTTCCCCAAACAGCCTCTCGAAAATGCGCTAAATCCGGTGTTTTCTTAATCCATCTTGAAAACATCTCCTTGAATTCACCGTTATATTCTATTTTACTGCCGTTTTTTCACAATCCCGTCATTGCATGTGATTCAGTAGCATGTTTGGATTTTGTATGCTAGGTGTTGTCAGCAGCTTCTGAAATAAAAAATTGTGTATCACTTGCCTGCCAAAAC